TACACTCTTGTATTTATTTATTAATTGTTAAGCTTTCTTGATATGGGCCCTGAGTCCGAATTTCGTACCATAAACATGCAAGTGTGAGCTGGTATGACAAAAAAAAAAAAATCCTTGAATCCTTAACTTACAAAGTAACAACACAGGCATTATTAAAGAAAGATCAAAGCAAATATGTTCTCGATTTTTAGTATTTTACCTTGTAAATGAGTCCTCGTGACTCAGTGAGACTAACCTGTATAAAGGTTAATAACAAAAATATAATTTACAGTCAGCCTCAGGCAGCTCTGACTTTTTTTTTTCCTCGTGCAACGGAACTCGTGAAGAATCAAAATCATTTCACAATAAGAGTCAAAGAAATCGTTAATTTCAAAAACACTCTTTCCAAACATCTAAAACTTTAAAAAATAGTTTAAATAAGTATATTATTATTCGATAAAACTCAAATTTCAGCATCTATTAGTCAAAATTATAAAATGATTTAGACGTCAACACCGTTTGAGAATTAATTTTGAAGGATCGAAATAAGTGTTTCCGCTTTTCTGTCTAGTTCAAATACATTTTTTCTCCGTAATTGTACCCAGTAACAAAACAAATACAATAGGGTTTGGGAGCACAAATATAACAAATACAAGCCTGAAGTTTTTATTGAATATTTAGACTTTAAAAAAAAAAAAAAAACATTACGACTTTGTTGTCAACATTTTGACTTTAATCTTAAATCGAAAAACTAACCACAGACATAAAGTCTTTCTCTTCAGTGGTTTAATTTTTTACTTCTGAGTGGCCCTAAGACTCAGTCCCATCCACTTTGACAAATATTGACAACATTAAAAATATATATAAGTTAAACCCGTAATTCTACTACTGGTAAATCTATAATATCCCAGAAGCAGTGAACACACCTATACGTGACAAATGCGCCTTGTGTCCCGCTCACCTTACGTAGAAACATTGTCTTCTCTGATTGGCTGTTTTGAAAAGTAACGGGTCAGCTGATTGGTGAATTTTGAACCGTTCAGCACAGCGTGAGCGGACAATTCAAAAGAATTCGTCAGCATTCCAACAGCGACTGAGAGAGTTCGTTGGATGTGCAAGGACACAGAATAAGGTATTTATTCTTCTTTCCCAAACTAAATGACAGATTAAGTACGTTGATAGAAAATATGTGGACTATGCCGTCTGATCACAAAGACCGCACGTTGTTTTAAAACCGAGAGTTTTCGTTGGGTTTGCAAACGGCAGACACCTTTCTGGTTGACAAATGTTTGATCTCTCATGATTCAACATACGTTTAAGAAGCAGATTGTTCGACAAGAACTAGTTCTAAACCACTATGTTCGTTTGAGTTAACACTACAATTGAACAATGTTTTAGCGCAGTTTGTGGGCTCTCGGTCTCGCTAGCTTCTCGGTGCTGTTGGTGTAAAATGGCTGCTTGAACGTGATTTCATCCATTCCACCTTTATTTAAACAGGTTAATCCCATTGAGCCTCGAGGACTCATTTACAAGAGAGACCTGATTTCAACAAAGAGTGATGACAACTGGACAACAGCTACAACAATAGACAGTTATAAAATGGCATACAGATAAAAAAAAAATTACAAAGAAGATGGCCACAAAAAGTAACAAAAACAACTAGATTATACAGTGATGAGACAGTTTTACTGACAATGAAATGGATCAAACTGATACTTTAAGAGGAGAAAAGTTTACTGGAGGTTGAAAATTCACTCAAATGCTCATCTTTTCCCATTTCTCTTTTAGGCAGCGATGGATGATTACGTGAAAATAGAGAAAATTGGAGAAGGTTGGTGTTATTGTGATTGATCAGTGTTTAAAAAGCACTACAAATGCTCTATGCTTTAAGCTATTCCAGAATTTGTCTTGTGTGTTTTCCAGTTTTTTTTTCTTCCCCAACACATCTCATTTTTTGTGTAAAGCTGTCTGACATCAATTCATAATTAAATTACCATGAAATTTGTTACGCAGGTGCCAAATACCTTTGGCTCAGTGGATAAACACATGGACTGCATTGTGACACTGGTGGCTCCATCCCTCTGTTCCTGCTTGCACTTTGACTAAATGCTATTTTTCTCTCAAACCCTTTTTCTCAGGTACTTATGGGGTTGTGTATAAGGGCAGACACAAGGCCACAGGGCAGATTGTGGCCATGAAGAAGATTCGTCTGGAGAGCGAGGAGGAGGGTGTTCCCAGCACCGCTGTCAGAGAGGTGTCTCTGCTCCAGGAGCTCAAACATCCCAACGTTGTACGGTATGCTGCTCGGTTATGAACTGATGGGTGTCTTACTGTGCAGAACGTTTCTAAACCTGACAAGTTCAAATAAAGTTGTTAGAAACTATTGGACTTTGGGCATTATTTAAAGGCATTTATTGAAAAATGTGAATATTTATTTGCTGAAAATTTTACATTGTGGGAAATTTTAAGAGCTGTGGCAGATACAGATTATTTCTTTATGTTTTAGCTTCTTCTCTTGCTGTGAGTAATGCACCCGTTCACTTTTATGTTTTGATGAAACGTTTGTTTAAAAAACGGTTAAAAAAAAAGAAGAACTTTTGATATCATTTATGATCCTTTAAACCAGCTACAAATGTTGGTTTGGCATTTGAGTCACGCTTCTATGTCTTTAAAATTAGATGATTAAAAAAAAGATTAAATGTTTTTAATCTGACAATATAGCTGGATTGTGCTTTCACAGCGATCATGCAAATGATAAAACATGGCGTTAAAGTGGACATTTGATGGACTGGTGACGTGTCCAAAGTGAATGTTCTTTCAGAAAAGTAGGTGACCAAGAAAAAGCGAAATGAGTAAATCAGAGTGTCATTGCTGCACAGCAATGACACTCTGATTCCCATCTGAAATCCACAACCATCTTCTTCACATTGATGTGAGGTTGTTCTTCCTGCACCACATATTGTAAAGTTTGCTCTAGATATTGTAAAGGTTTAAAAGAATGACATTTGTTGGAACAATTATCAAATTTTATAATGGAATTTATTTTATGGTGGTAATGATCCATTTTGGAAGTAGGTTTGCTTAAAAAAATAAAAGTCCAATGGGTCATTTTCCAAAACCAATTCCTTTGGAAGTTGATCAATTTTAGTTTCGTACAGCATTAAACTAGCCAGAAGCTCCTCAGAAATGGTTTTATCCAAACTGAGATTTAAAAAGAAACTGTCTACAACAGGTAATAAGGAAAAGACAAGATGGAATAGAGGCAGGGCAGCCGACTCGGGACCCGAAAGTCCCAGGTTTGAACCCCAGCCATTCCCACATGTCGTGTCAGTCTCTGAGCAAGTCACCTAATCCCAAATTCCTCCCCGGGTGCTTGCATAGCTGCCCACTGCTCCACCTGGGTGTATCCCAGGTGCGATGGGTTAAATGCAGAGAACCAATTTCATCTTTGTATGGGAACATACAATGATGACGACACATCAACGCACTTAATATAACTTCTCATAAGTTTCATAAACCCCACTAAAACTACTGGATTGTCCTTCAAGTCTTTGTCTGTGCACAGACCTAAAGTAAAAACTGCAGAGATTTTTAAAGTTTTTATATTTTTCAATTGTGTTCACCAAGCTCTAGTAACCATGTTTGGCACATAAAATTTCCAAAGAGCTACTATTTTCAGCAAAGCACTGCAAGCTGTATGAACAGTGTTGTCTTCCCTTGTTCGTGTGTATGCCAGACTCTTGGATGTCCTGATGCAGGAGTCTCGTCTTTACCTCATCTTTGAGTTCCTGTCCATGGACCTGAAGAAGTACCTGGACTCCATCCCCTCTGGGCAATACATGGACCCCATGCTGGTCAAGGTAATTTGGTCATCTAAATCTTGGATGGTGTTTACATACGTCTTCTTTGGATAGAGCTTTAATCAGCATTTGTGTGTGGCTCATTTATAAAACCGTACAATAAAGGGGGCACAAACTAGCAGTTGAATCAACTAGAGGGTTGTAGGACGTCTTGCAAGTTTTACATTTTCACATCAACTAGTCGCAGTCATGTGATTGCTGGCTACAAAATGGATTCTTCTAAGCAGATGGAAGGTGAGGAGCAGGCCAAGACTTGGCAAACGGGTAGAAATTCATCAACAGTGTGGAAGTGTGTTTCACTAAAGGTGACTGGTTCAACTACAGAGTGAACTTTATTTAATCCACCACCTCCCGCCCCTCTTTTTAGTTTTTTTTACGGGCCATTCTAAAATATGCACATTTCTTTCACTTTTGCAGCTAATGGTTTTGGTTTTCCTGTGACTTATTTGCAGTATGATAAATGGTAGGAGCATAAATATACGCTCCCCATGTTTTGCTCTCTTTTTTTTTCTTGTTCTGCATAAATGTTTTTTCTGTGAATATGGGTAATATGGTGTCTTGAGTTCCTATGATGTCACAGCAGCTGGTCGATGACTCAACTTTTATCATGTTGACGTCGACTTAAAAAAAGGGGGGAAATATATATTTATCATACAAACCAGTCTGTCTACTTCCATGACCATACTGTGGTTATTATTATTATTATTATTATTATTATTATTATTATATATATATTTTTTGTAGAGCTACCTTTACCAGATATTGGAGGGAATTTATTTCTGCCACTGTCGTCGAGTCCTACATCGTGACTTAAAACCCCAGAACCTTCTGATCGACAACAAAGGAGCTATAAAGCTGGCAGACTTCGGCTTGGCTCGTGCCTTCGGTGTTCCTGTCAGGGTCTACACACACGAGGTGGGAACTCTTTCACCCACATCTTATGAATCCTAACTTGAATACAATCATCTCTTAAAACATTGTTTTATTAAAGCCTGCTGTGCTCTCAGGTTGTAACGCTTTGGTATCGGGCTCCAGAAGTCCTCCTGGGCTCCCCCAGATATTCAACTCCTGTGGATATTTGGAGCACTGGAACTATTTTTGCTGAGCTCGCCACCAAGAAGCCCCTTTTCCATGGAGACTCTGAAATAGACCAGCTCTTCAGGATTTTCAGGTGAACACATCCGAAATTTAATTTAACTAGATGATCTTCTGTTTTTGAACTCTAAATGGCAGCTAAAGCTTATGTAGATGTGTGAAAATAAATTTTTACACAAGATTTGTAAATCGTATAATAGATGGTGCTGTTCAGATTTATAGGAAGCTGAACAAAAGTTTTAAACTACTTCTGCTGATAAGCTGCAACAGGTCTGTGCTGGATGTTCAAAGTGATAATCTTCAATTAAGATCAACTTTTTATACAAAATGCCACTTCAAAATGGGTTGAAAGTTGCTTTTTAAATTTAGTTTGAACTGGTTTGTGTACACTTAAACTTTTCCAGGGGAACAACTAGTCAGGCTGCTGAGCAAAGTTTCTCCAGTCAAATCTAAAAAGAGTTGCTTCTTCACACTTTAGGCCAGCACTAGTCACTATTATACAAACAGGTAGTTGATCCAGCACAAACTGGTTCAGTTTTTATAGCTCCAATCTTAAACTTTTTGGGGTTTTTAATGGCAGAGTCCTCTGCCATTAAAAACTCAAATTTATAGTCGCCATAAATATTCCCTGCATTATTCTCAGACCCATAGTCATTCATTCAATCTTTATTTATACAAGTTGCTCTCATTGAGCCTCGAGGACTCCTTTACAAGAGAGACCCATTTTAACAATAAACGATGACAACAGTAGACGCAACAGCTAGATTATATCATTAACATTTTAATCAATGAATTACAATTTTACAATAGTTGTCAGGCTACAATCAACTCAGTTATCAGGTACTTGGTTGCCATAAAAAACTACAAATACAACAATTATATTCAGTTCTCTCTTGTAAATGAGTCCTCGTGGCTCAATGGGACGAACCTGTTTAAATAAAGTTTGAATTAATATCTTCTATAGAAATCAAGAATTCATCCAGACGATCTAAGGTAAGCTGGAGCAGATCTGAACTGCTGCATGGAGGACAAGGTGGAGCATTATCCTGCAGAGAACATCAGAAACAGCTTTATAACAGGAGCTACTCTGATCTTTTTTTAACGTGTGTAACGTTATAAAACACTGATATGGCTATATTGATCACTGTATTGCATATACATTTTTTTTCTAACAAATATGTGTTTGCAGTCTCGTTTCCTTCTAAAATTTAATGATAAATGTATCAGCCGCTTCTAAAAATGCTTTGATAAAATGCATAGTCTGTGAAATAATCAGTAATCGGTTAAGTAATCAGTTCGTTACTGCTCAGTAATTACTGAAAGACATCAGGTAAAGTAAGAAAAGTCGATTTTTGTGTTATGTTGCGCCAGCAGCTGCTCAAACTGACTGACAGCGATGAGCTGTTTGGAACTACTGGGAGCTGCATGAACCACGTGACCGCGTATCGGCGAGTTCAAAGAGTGTCGCAACTCTCTCTTTACAGGGCTCTGAACCCAACGTGTGTGCCAACGCAAATCTTTTCCTCTAACATACGAAAAAACCTACGTTTCCCCCCATCGTGTCCATGTAAATAGGGCCTCAGATTTCCACTTTCAAAAACGTATAATGCAACTTTAAGACTGATTCCCAGCCAGTTTTCACACCTGATGGTAACAGAGGGGCCTCATCTGTGAATTGGAAGTAACAAAGACCTTAAGAAAACCCTACTGTTAAGGTGTGATTTGCCAATCTACATATATGTGTGTGTGTTTTATCTCACTCAGCCTTATAACCTAAACCCCTCACTCTCTGCTCTTTGAATTGAGAAAGCTCCTCGGATGAGGAACGAAACGTCTTCTGTTACAAATAAAGTCCAGTTGTTTTTGTATTGAATGTTTTTTGAATTTATCATGTCCTGGATGACTGAGAATCTTCACCAGCATCCTGATCTTTATATTTTAATAGAAATCTTACATTTTCCTCTACATAAAACTTGGTAAAAGATTAAAGTTTTCCAGAATAATTTGGAATACATCAAAACTACATGACAGAAGTGACGCTGTATTCTCTTAGTATGACAGATGGCAGTCCCTAAAGTAGAGCTTTTATTGTCCACTAAACTTAATAAAATTGTGTTGTCCCCAATGTTTAGTTAATATTGACAGGTAAATGTTTAATCAAAACTTTACATTAAAAAAAATAAATATTTCTTGCTCTTTCAGGACTCTGGGAACCCCTAACAATGAAGTGTGGCCTGATGTAGAGAGTCTGCCAGATTACAAAAACTCCTTCCCTAAATGGAAATCTGGCAACCTGTCATCATTGGTGAAAAACCTGGACAAGAACGGTCTGGACTTACTTGGGGTGAGAACTAAAGCTTTTCCTGACATGTAATTTGTTGTAACTTATCGGGAAGCTAAATTTTTTTGAGGGGGGGGGGGGGGATATTTGGTAACTTGAAATTGATAGCATGATGGAAGTGTTTTACAGTAGTCCCTCGATTATCGCTGGGGTTACTCCCACACACACGCAATGGGTGATAAACCAAGGCAGGAACACTATATAGTACATTTTATATATATTGTACAGTACTGCAAAGTTTTACTCACCAGCTCTGCAGACCTACCCTGCAGCAACAAAGTCCACCGCCCTGTCCAGGTTGATGTGCGCATGGATTAAATAATTGCCACACACACCAGGAGGTTAAGAAAATAAAGGCATTTTATTTATTCATCTAGTACTCATAAAGGGGCCGTTTACACGGCGCGTATTTTGAGTGCATCCGCAGCTTTCTCTCTGCGGTTCTGCTGATCATTTACACGACACCAGTGGCCCCCCTCTTTGAATCCAGAGGTTTCTGAATCCACCTTCCAGAGTGGGGGTTTTTCCTCTAACCCCCCCGCTGATAATGTAAACATCTCCCGCTAAGGCTTTGTGTTAAACCACATACGCACGCGCGGACCGACGCTATATTTCTATCAACATGGCAGCAGAAACACTGCTTTCTGAACTACGACTGATAGAATATATTTTAATCTCGTAGTTAATCTACGTCAGATTCCAGGTGCTGTGACCAACATCTGTGTTGGAAGAGGCACAATCTGATCCCTGTCTTGTGTGGGATTTCTCCTTCTGCCTGGCTCCTGAGCTAGTGGGGACGCTGTCTGCTCTGTGATACAGAGTCCTGATTACTCCTAACTTGTGCTCCAAGGAGCACAAGGAGGCTCTAGAGCAATGTGGATATCCTAACTGGGCCTTCCTGAAAGCAGAGAAGAAACCCAAACAGGACTCCAGTCAGCCAACAGGTGAAAAGGAGGAACCCAGACCAGTGGTCATTCCGTATGTTGAGAGAGTATCAGAGAAACTGAGACGTTTATTTTCTAAACAGAACGTCCCAGTGGCTTTTAAACCCCAAAATACATTACGTCAAAGACTGGTTCATCACAAAGATCCAGTCCCCCGGCACAAACAGAGTAACGTTGTGTATGCTGTTCAGTGTCAGGAGGGCTGTGATCAGTCTTACATCGGGGAAACTAAACAGCCACTGGCCAAAAGGATGGCCCAGCACAGAAGATCAACATCATCAGGCCAGGACTCTGCGGTCTACACTCATCTCCAGGCCAGTGGTCACTCTTTCAGGGATGAAGATGTTCACATCCTGGATAGAGAGGAACGATGGTTTGAGAGAGGAGTAAAGGAGGCCATCTTTGTGAAAAGAAACTGTCCATCATTAAACAGGGGTGGAGGCCTCCGGGTTCAACTGTCCCCCTCTTACACTGCTGTGATTGCTAGTATCACTCAGCCCTCTGTGAACAGTAAACAGCCATCGGTGTGCTAATGATCCATTGTTAGGCTGATGGTCCTTCTTGAGCATGTGATCAGCTGGTTTTGGTTGTCAGCAGCAAAACTGGTTGATCCACTCTGAGACGGTGCTATTTAAGAGACTGAGCTGAATACAGCACCTCAGACTGAGGAAGTCTCTCGGATGAGAGATGAAACGTTTCTACAATTTTTGTTTATTTGCTTTGTTTTGTTTTTTTGAATGTCCAGAGGACCAGATTTAACTTTTTTAGATTTTTCTACCTGGATTATTAAGCATGCATCAGGATATATTGCATGTTATTAAAGTTGAAAATGAAGACATTGGATTTAATTTTTATTTTATTTATTTATTCAGCACCACAAACTGTATGTCACACAAACACAGATAATTAAACTGAACACACGATTAAAAACAAGTTAACTGTAAACTACATTGATGAACTGGACTCTTCTTCCTCTGTTTTCATCCTGGATGTCCCACGTTGTTCATCTGGCTCGTTCAGGCTATCACTCCTTTGATTAATGCAACTTAAAACATTCAATGGATTGAATCAAAGAACTGAGGGGAATTTTAAATAAATAGTTCATCCAACATCTCTCTCTTCCACGTCCTCCTGCAGTGCATCTGGGCCGAGATGGGTTTACATGCATCCTTATGCATGTAAACCTAAAATTCGCAAATCTTTTTTCCTCTAATTAACATACGAAAAAACCTACGTTTCCCCCATCGTGTCCGTGTAAATGGGGCTAAAATCAACCCTTCCACCTAATCCTCACCCCAAACTAACAGAGGCCTACAGTAAAGATGAAATGAGTTCAAATTTTCTTCCCCCTGAGGCACACGCTCTATTCAGCCTCTTCTTGACTGCCTGGCTGACATCCGGGACTGGATGGCTTTAAACTTCTTAAGCTTCAATGAGAAGAAGTCTGAAGTCATGCTGTTCCATCCCAGTGGCTCACTCATGAACCATGACATTGACCTTTTCTCTCTAGCCCCGCTAGAGAAACAAAAGGTGACTAATCTGGGGGTGATAATGGACCCGTCCTTAAAACTCAACAGTCACGTAAACATGATGGTCAAATCCTGTTTTTTTCAGCTGAGACGGCTGTCTAAGCTGAAGCCTATACTCTCCAAAAAGAACCTTGAGACAGTGATCCACGCCTTCATAACTTCTAGGCTTGATTACTGCAATTCACTTCTGTTTGGAATCAGTCAGTCCTCCATTGCTCGTCTACAACTGGTCCAAAATGCTGCAGCCCGATTTTTAACTGGTACAGGCTATAGAGAGCACATCACGCCAGTTTTGGCCTCCCTGCACTGGCTACCCATTCACCTTTGGATCCATTTCAAAATTTTCATGTATGTTTTTAAATCACTGAACAGTTCCGCCCCATCCTATCTCACTGATCTTCTGCAGCCATATGTCCCACCGCGCTCTCTGAGGTCAGCAGACCAGATGCTTCTCTCAGTCCCAGAAACCCGTCGTAAGCTCAGAGGTGACAGGGCTTTCTCTGTTGCAGGTCCACGACTGTGGAATGAGTTGCCACTGAGTGTCCGGCAGGCTCCCACACTCTCAGTCTTTAAGTCTCGCTTGAAGACCCACTTCTATTCTCTTGCTTTTAACACGGTGTGATTTGTTTTGGTCCGGTCTGTTCTCTACTCTGTTGGCCATTTTAGTTAGCTTCTGCTGCTATTTGTATCTGTATTTCTATTTTATGTTTTCCTGTCTGCTGTGCATGTTTGGTTCTTTTGTACAGCACTTTGGTTGGCCTTGTTGCTGTTTTAAGTGCTATATAAATAAATTGGTATGGTATGGTACTTAGCTCACACTGCTGGCGAGACCCCTCCCCAGGGTCTAAGCTTGTGATGTTATTCAACACCCTGAGAACTGACCTAGCTGGACAACAATCGGACATTTTGGGTTGGCTCCATGCCAGATCAGGGCAGCTAACAGAAGCAGGAGAGCAATGTGGTGACTGCACCCAGCCTCCCCTCCTGTCCTGACACAGGAACACCTAACCACCTCTTACTGTCCGTCGCTGGCAGCCCTAAATGACTGCGAACACCACCCTCCCTCCAAAAGGGTGCTGCCACAAGAGGATGACATGGGAGTGGATTTTCACTTCTGTCCTGGCCCCACAGAAAAAAATCCTGTCCTGGGCCAGAGTAAAAAATAACTCTTGTCCTGTCTCACTCCTGTAACATGACTCCCACTCCTGTACCACTCCCATTTTTTTCTCTTCCATTTATTCTATAGGAAATTCATATAATTTGATTTGATCTTCTACCCATTCCTTTTTAAAAGACTGTGTTCTTCAGTTTTATTTCAAGAGATATGGCGACAGGAACAGTTAATCTGTGGTGAAATAGAGACATTTATTGCCCCAAACAAAAACCTTCACTAAAGCTCACAAAACATACTACATGGCCTGTAGTCCCTATATAAAAAGCTTTGCAAGCTCAATAATCCAGGTAGATGGCAATAAAAATGGTTAAAACATGTAATTTGGACCAGTTTCTTTATATGAAAATGTGACATGTGTGGTTCCTATAGTTTTTCTATGGAGGATCAGCTGCTGAGTGCCTGTTTCTAGCTCTTTTGGAGGTCAGTAAAACAGTATATGGATCACACCATGAACCCAAACATGACAATCATTTCCTTTTAAACAGTTACATTACTTTCTGGTTTCAAATTGCTTCAACAAAAAAACAACAAAAAAAGAAAAGAAAAAAATGTACCAACAAGACAATTTGACAAATAAAAATGCTTAAAGGCATTCTTGTACATTGGACGACGTCCTCAAGAAGTTCAGTCTATGTGGTTGAGGTAACGAGGTAACAAGCTCGTTTGGGCGAAGCATGATGTCGTGCATCTTACCAGACTTCAGAGCATCATTTACACACTGGATCATTACAGGTCTGGTGTTCCAGACTGAAGGTTTATTGAAAGAAATCTACACAATAGCAGCACCTGTCCAAAGTATTTATTTTTCGTCCTATTGGTTGGTTCCCGCTCCTGTCTGGTCCTGTGAACTTTTTGTCCTGTCCCGTCCCAATCCTGTGAGTTATAATAAAGTTGACTCCTGTCTTGCCCGAATCCTGTGACCTGCAGGACTCCTGTAAAACATGTCATCCTCAACAGAGAAGCTCCCCTCAGCTGGAGACCATTTTCAATGTGCTGCTCCTCTGATGGCACACACCTGTCCCTGATTAGTCTCTGTCTCCTGAGTCTTGCCCAGACACATCACAATAATCAAAGGTGAAATGAGCCTTTTTGGTCAAATCTTGAAAGTTCTCTAATCTCAGGTGACCTGTTGGCACAGTCTGAATAAGTGAAGGACGGTTTGGCTACTGAATCAGTCTTCTGTGAAACTGGCTGAATCTACTGAATTGGAGCCATTTTGGGTTAGCTGCTGTGTTCATCTTGTACTGGGTTGACTTTTTTTTTTATGTCTGGTCAGTGTCATTAGATTGCACCCCGAGATAAAATGTAGACATTTAGCTGACAGACTCGTGCACTCATACTCGAGTAAAACGATGGCTGTGGGCATTAAGTGTTCTTGACCGACGGTCTTTTTATTTGAGTTGTGTTTTGTTTATTTTCAACGAGTCTGCTGGCTTCCTTAGAGAACTTTACCAATTGGCTCTTCTATATTTGTGAATGTTTCTGTAAAGTGCCCTGAGACGAACTGGCACTATATAAATAAATTGAATTGATTGCAGCAGATCAGTCATTATTCCCTGTAGTATTAACACTGCTCTTCTTGTTCCTGTGTTCTGTAGAAAATGTTGATTTATAATCCTCCAAAGAGAGTCTCAGCACGTGAGGCCATGAAACACCCTTACTTTGATGACCTGGACAAATCCACCCTGCCAGCTGCCACCATCAAGAACATCTAGTCTGGATTCTGACTGTTCATATCAACACATCCCTGTGAATCTGTAAATATGTCTGTGTGTTTGTGCGAAAATGTTTTTCAGACATTTAAAGTTTCAATACTTTTTTTCAAAACCTGCATTTTCTGTTTTGTTGTTCCCTTAAATCTGCAGATGTTTGAGCGGGGGCTGTAATGAAGCACGTTTTATCCCTGCAGCTCAGCATTTGTAACTTGTGCATATCTCATGTAGATGCACACAAGCTTGTATTGACAATTTAAAACAGTTTTTTTTTAATTGAAACCTCTACAGCCATATACCTGAACATGTACATTAAAAAGGATTTCTCTTAGTCTGTCTTTGTTAGTTTACTTGCTGTCTAAAGTTTCCTACCTCACTTGAGTGGTCTTAATGTTATGGTTCAGTGTGCCTCAGTTTTAGGGGTGGGGGGCACTTGAATAGCAGAAGGGTAAAATAGCTACATGGCCAAGAATAATTTATTTTCTATGTAAATTTATAAAAGGCTAGAGTTTGTCATTTATCACCAAATATTCATGTAAATTCATTCCACCTTTATTTAAACAGGTTAATCCCATTGAGCCTCTGACTCATTTACAAGAGAGACCTGATTTCAACAAAGAATGATGACAACAGCGACAACAATAGACGATTATTAAAAGTCATAAAATTATTTTATTTTTTTTACAACAAAGATGGCCCCCAAAAAAGTAACAAACTGCTAGATTATAAGGCGAATGTATAAAACTAAAAACAGGAACATGTCTGCATTGGGTCAGGTATTCTGTCAGACATTATCAATTCTAAACTGTTTTAATGAACACTTTATATCCTCTGGCTCCCTGTTCGAATCTACGCATCCTGAAATGTTATCTGCTGACCAAACTGATGAAAATCCACCCCCAACTCCGCATGTGCTAGACAAACGGGTCACAAACCGCTTTGACTTTGTATCAAGATCTCCCAGTGAGGTTCTAAATGCTCTAAAAACTCTTGACACACGCAAAGCAGCAGGACCTGACAACATAGAACCACTTTTCCTAAAACTAGCTGCAGATTTCATTGCTGAACCACTTTCATGTATTTTCAATCTCAGTCTAAATACAAATACAATACCCAAAATCTGGAAATCGGCTTATGTTCTCCCTCTGCTAAAAGGGGGTGAACCAACTAATGTCAACAACTACAGACCAATTTCTAAATTATGTATTCTTGCTAAACTGTTCGAAAGACTTGTCTGTGATCCGCTAACTGTTTTTCTACAATCAAATAATATTTTATCACAATTCCAGTCAGGATTCAGAAAACAGCACAGTACCGTAACTACAGTTCTTAAAGTATTAAATGACATCATACATGCCCTGGACTGCAAACAATACTGTGTTGCCCTATTTATAGACCTATCCAAGGCATTTGATACAGTTGATCACAGACTATTGACTAACATCCTGAAACACTCTGGTCTATCAAAACTAGCAGTCTCCTGGTTCACCAACTATCTAACTGACAGAACAGTCTGTCCATGTAACCGGATCTTCCTCTACGTTCCTAGATGTTGTGAAAGGGGTGCCACAGGGTTTTGTCTTGGGTCTCATTCTTTTCTCCTTATATATCAACGATCTATGCAGTGATCTGTCAAACGCCTCCCACCATTATTATGCAGATGACACTTATCATTTATTGCTGTTCATCCTCCCTCAGCCAAGCCTTCACCTCTCTTCAAGACGCTTTTAATATTATCCAGTCACGTCTACAAAAACTTAGACTGGTCCTAAATGCTGACAAAAGCAAGATCATGGTTTTATCCAACAGAAAGCAGCAACCAGAGAACCCACCTCAAATTGAAACCCAAGAGGGAAAACAAATAGAAATGGTCTCCACCTACAAATATCTAGGTTTCAACATTGACAATAAACTGTCATTTAAAATCCACATCTCCAAAATGGTCACTAAACTCAAACTGAAGCTAGGCTTCTACTTCAGAAATAAATCCTGCTTCTCATGTAAAGCCAGGAGAACATTAGTAGCTGCAACTTTCATGCCGATATTAGATTATGGTGACGTGCTGTACATGAGTGCTGCATCAAAATACCTACAGTCCTTAGACTCAGTTTATCATGGTTCCCTTCGATTCATTACTGATTCCAGTTATCGCACTCATCACTGTGAACTTTACGGCAAGTCTAGCTGGTCTTCTCTCAGCGCTCGCAGATACACTCACTGGATATCCTTCATCTATAAGACCCTTCTAAACCTAGTCCCGTCATACCTTACCTCCCTAATACAAACATCACACAATCATTACTCCCTGCGCTCTAATGATTTAATCCTGTCAGTTCCTCTGGTCAGAACTGAACTAGGAAAAAGAGCATTCAGCTTCGCCGTCCCCTCAGCCTGGAACAACTTACAGATTTGAAACTATCAACGCTCATCTCGCCTAGATCCTTCATGTCAACCGTAACAGATAATGTTAGCAAAAATCTGGACCATTGCAGATGTTTCTAAAACACTACTTATCAAATATACATGTCTTTGTTGACTTTTAACTCTATCTACTTAAACTGATGTCTGTTCTACATTTAATGTCTACAGAAGTCTGTCTTATCCTGATGGTTTCAAACTGTTAACATTTATTTATCGTGATAGTAGTTTCTTTTTTCTTTTGATAAATGCAAATGCTTATTGTCAATTACCCTGTGACGTGTGCTGATGACCACTTGACCAGGTCACCCTTGTGAAAGAGATCTCGATCTCAACGGGCTCTACCTGGTAAAATAAAGGTGATTGATTGATTGGTCCCTGCCAGGAGTCCAACAGATTCTTAAAGCCACTTAGAGGTCAAGGTGGAGAACTTCAGATCTTTTTGTAAGATATTCCAGGAAACAGGAGCGGAGTAGAAGGTCCTTTTGTCTAGTTCAGTTCTCATTGAGGGAACACTGCAGGTAATAATGTCCTGAGAGCGCACGCTGTAGCTGCACTCACGCAGAGACATGTAGGAGGAGATGTATGAAGGCAGCAGACCAAGAAGTGATTTAAAGATGAAAATGTACCAGTGAGAGAGTCTGCGTGAAGTTAATGATGTCCAGTTAACCAGTGAATACTGGGTGCAGTGGTGGGTACGATAATCACAGCCAGTTATGAATCTTAGTGCACCATGATGGACAGCATCCAACATCTGCAGGGTTCTTGTAGGAGCGTTCATGTAAATAATGTCACCGTAATCAATTGAGGGAAGGAAAGTCACAGATACAAAGCGTTTTCTAGCATTCAGTTAGACAGGATCTGTTTCTGAAAAAGAAACCCAGTTTAAGTTTCAGTTTCTTTACTAGGTTTTCCACATGGAGCTTAGAGAGATGCGAGTCGACCAAGATACCCAAATATTTATAGGAATCAACAAACTCAATGGGGACACCATTTGAGGATAAAATCAGAGGAAGAACTGCTGGGACCGACTTCCTGTTTGGAAAAAACCATCCCTTTGGTTTTGTCGGCATTTAAGATAAGTTTGAGGCGTAACAAATCTGACTGGATGTCAAATGCGGACTGCAAAAGCTGGAAAGCCTTAGCAACTGTTTTAGCTTGACAATAAACAACTGTGTCATCAGCATAGAAATGTATGGATGCTGTAATTACTGGGGGGTGCAGGGTTGGGCTGAATCCCTGAGAGCAGTAACATTATTATCAGACATTTTCTTGAATTTTTCATGACTGATGTGTATTACAGGAGTTGACAGTGTGACAATTAGCCCCTATAATTGAACCATGTGAAACAATAAAGACGCGATCATTCAGAACCCAAAATCAGTGAAAGTTGCAGTGATGGGCAGATCCAGGTGTATTAACAAGATTCAGTGACTCCAGATAGTCTGAGATCTGAAAATAATGACAATAATATGAATGGTGCAGAAAAGTTTCAGACCATAAAACGTCACAAATCAAATGGGCAAACAAACCCGACGAGGTGGCCCGACTGCAGTTTGAGTTGGGCTGAGTGGGGCTTCGGCCCCCCTGCGAAGATGGATGGATGCGCCCATGGGAAACAGAAGCTGGGTCCAGAATCAACAGGCAGAAACAGAATTTGCAGCAAATAACAGAGCGAGCTGCCAGAAAATCCTCCTGAAATGAAAGGCATGGTCCTAGCTCGTTTCAGGTCAACAACAGGGGCGTTTCAGGTCAACAGGGGACAACAACGTGATCCGGAATAAAATTTATTATTATCCAGGTGAGTTTGGATGGAGGCCTGCAGCAACTCCGATGCAAACCCCGAACTTCTCTTGAGCACCACAGCGCTGCTCCTCCGCTTCTCTGCACGTCACTTCCACACCTGACAGCACAAGAGGACACTCCCGGTGAAAAATGACGAGACTGACCGAAGAGGCTGAAGTCGTCACTGGTCCGATTCTGCTCCAGTCCAGCTTCGCCGCTCCACAGCACGAGAGGCTACCTCCAATGAACAATGAAGACACTGACCGAAGAGCCTGAAGTTGTCCCTGGCCTGGTTCTGCTCCAGTCCGGTTCCGGCGGTGCTTCAAAGCATCAGAGCGTCTCCTCCAGGCGAACACAGCGATTCCCCCAGAAATGGACCGTCCTTCATTTAAAGGTAACGAGCTGCTCACTGAAGCCGAGACTGGCTCTGTTGAAGACGAAGTCCCCCACAGCCAACTCGGTTCAGTTCTGGTCCTATTCAAGGACACAGGTACACTTCCCCCACACCAATGAAGACACCACGAGGGGCAGTCCAGCAGAAAGCCAGCGAAATACCACCCAGCAATTCTTGTCGGAACCAGGTAGAACCACAAGGTCCAGAAGAGAAGTTCATTGGGGCGGCTGTGGCTGAGTGGTTAGAGCAGTCGTCCTCCAATGCGAGAGTTGGGGGCTTGAATCCACCAGCAGTCACATGCCGAAGTGTCCCTGGGCAAGACACTGAACCCCTCATAGCCTCTCACGTGTGTCCCATCAGTGTATGAATGTGATAAATCACTGATTAGTCTCTTTAGAATGATTTGTTCAATCTTTGCAGAGATCTAGTAGAGTGATGTATGAATGGGTGAATGAGGCACAGATTGTAAAGAGCTTTGAGTGTCTTGATCAGATAGAAAGGTTCTATACAAGTACAGTCCATTTACCATTGAGGTTCAGAGAGAGAGCGAGAAAAAACACCGGACCTTGGTGCGACGACTCCCCAGCTCGAGGGGTCACCTGGCCGGCAGGGTGCGCTCAGAGTGACTGGTGGGGTGGGAGCGGCCGGTCCTGGACCGAAACAATTTTTTTGGACGGTCCCGTCTGGCTCTCTGAGTCACTGAACACAGAATTCGGTTGGAAGAGGACCAACTTTAGTCCGGTTCGAAAAACAGGTCAGTTTGATGATAAAAGACTGCAGAGAAGCCGGAGGGAGCTGCTGTCCATCAGCTTACCAGAACCAGAAATTAAAGTTTTATATAAAGTATATTTTGTGTGAAAACTTAAAGCCTGCAAAACAACCAAACGTTGTTGCATGGATGATGAAATTTCTGTAAAACAAATGTTGAGTAGGTTTCAGTTTAATAAAAATGATTTTTTTTTCTGTATCACATGAACAGATGCTGTTAAAATTACAGTGACAGATTATTTCTAGTAGTAACTGCCTCACCAAAACAGATTAAATTACTTTGGATAATCTATTCGACTCCCAAGTTATTGATGCTCCAAAAGGTGAAGTTTTGCTCCGTCTAATTGTCTTCATCATCCAGAAGGAACTCCTTGATCTCCTCCCTCATCAGAGACCTGGAGAACGTGAATCAGTTATTCCTGAAGTGGAAACAGAATAAATCTGTAAATGTGTCTCACCTCCTTCGCCTCTTCTGAGCCTCAGACAGGATGTATTGAGGAAGATGGTGAACTGATGACTGAAATAAAGGGACACATAAACATTTCAGAAATTAATCACTCGTTCATTGTGCAGGAAAAAACACATTTTAATATTTATACATTGAGACATAACCCCAGTTCTGACGGTGTCTCCCTCACCATGTCTCTGATGGTCAGCTGACAGCTGTAACACATCAGGCTCTTCACATCAAACGCCTCCATTTCTCTGGAAAACAACACCATGGCTGTTCAGACAGACAGATGGAATCCACATGTTTACAAGCTACTCCAGATGCAACTTCAGACACATCTGTATCAATATGAACACGTTTTGTTCCAGAAAATCAAAAAGTGAATCATTTGGTTTTATGTGTCAGGATACAAACAACTGAATAAATATGGTTCAGATAATCCCTGACGTGTTTTTATTCTTTTTGATTCCAGTCATGTTATCATTTTACATGCACTGAGATAAGAACAATATTAGGATTTATCAGGAGAAATATGTTTAGTGTATGTGTTATTACTTTGTGGTCTGTTTAATATTAGTTCATTTACTTAAATAAATAGCTAAATGTGATAAAACCGCCCACTGATAAAGGTTTGGAAGTCCTTCCTAAGCAATTCTGAAGGTCTTTCAAAGTGTTTCTTTGGTCTTTGGCTACTTTTCAAATTAATTTTCAGCCATTTTCAGAGGATATTTTTTTGTCATTTAGTTCAGACTTCGGAACAATTCAGTCTGTCAAAACACCTGAGAACTGCTGATCAACTTTCCAAAATCACAGCCAAGTCTGGCTCATTAGGAGCAACCTATAAAGTAAATTGTGTGGTTTAAAACTTCTGTGCAGTGCTGTATGAAAGTAATTTAATGTAATCTTTATAAATATGCAATACTTTAGAAAACATCTAAGAACGACAAAAATTTGTCATTTTCACCTTGATTCAAGTCCTCGTCACAAGGACAGAACAAAAACGTGAACTCCCTTTTTAACAAGAGCACAGAACCAGGCTCAGGAAGCGCGTGGGTGTTTGGTGGGTGTACCTGCAACGACTAGGTGGGGGTTGAGAATGGGACAGAGACAAAGCATAGGGCCATAGGGCCTGCTGCTGGGGTGGGGGTCATGCTTCCAGTCATGACTGCTTCTGAGCTAAAAGTACGGTGGCCCTAAGGTGTAAATGAACAACATTAGAAAAAACGGAATCGCATTAGAAAAAAACAGAACGACTTTTGAAAAAACAGAATTACATTAAGCCAAATAGGAAGTTTTTTTTTTTTTTTACTTTATTAACAGCATAAAACCAAACAACAGAACAATATACAGTACATCCTGATGCATGCTCAATCCAGGTATAAAAATCTACAAAAGTTAAGTCAGGTCCACTGGAGGCCTCCATGTTCAACTGTCCTCCTCTTAAGGCTCCAGTATACTGCCGCGTACGTCCGTTCACGCATACGTACACGTGTACTGTACGCAGAGGGTTCAGACTTCATACTCCAGCGTACACCCCGAGCAGCTGCAGAGCAGCTTCACAGACAAGGGGCGTTTACCTTCGGGACAAATTGAGGTCGCCGATTGGTCATTTGCTGACACGCCTACTGGATTGATTGACAGGTCAGAAATTTTTTTTTAAAAAGCGAGCGCTGGCAGCCTCCGCCACAGTGGTGTTCTGCATTTATATGTTGTTAATAAAAAGATCTAAAAAATAAGAAAAACAGGGAGCGCTGGCTCTACAGCCCACACATCAGACCAGCCCACCAGGAAATCTCCAGACCCTCCTGCAGCCACGCTGGACCTGAGTTTAATTCGCTCGTGACAAATTCCTCCATTTCTCACCATTGCAGTCATGGCATCAACGGAGGAGGAAGAGATCACTGCCTCTTGGCAAAAAAACGGAGGAGGAAGAGATCACTGCCTCTTGGCAAAAAAAACAAATGAAAAGGCCAGATCAGGGATGAAGAAGGGGAATTTAATACATTGGTGTCGCATACAAAACAGTCTGTCGCCAGGCAGTTTATTGTGCGACACGCGTATGCGGTCGTAAAAATTTGAGCTTTGCACGGACATGCCCTGGGGGGTACGCTCGTACCTCCGCGTACGTACATGCGTACCCCTGCGTATGGATGTACGCAGCAGTATACTGGGGGCTTTATAATGCTGTTATTGCTAGTATCACTCAGCCCCCTGTGGATAGCAAGCAGCCATCAGGGTGTTAATGATCCATTGTTAAGCTGATGGTCCTCCTTGATCATGTGAACAGCTAGTTTTAAATGTCAACAACAAACTGGTTTACCCACTATGAGAAGGTGCTATTTATAAGACTGAGCTGAATACAGCACCTCAGACTGAACAAGCCTTTCGGATGAAAGATGAAACGTTTCTACGATTTTATTTATTTATTGTTGTTGTTTTTTGAACATCCAGAGGACCTGACAACTTTTTTAGAATATACAGTACACACATATCTCTGATGCGTATGTACTGTATATTGTTCTGTTGTTCAGTTTTATGCTGTTAGTACAGTAAAAAAAAAAAAAAAAAAAAACTTCCCGCTTGGCTTAATGTAATTCTGTTTTTTCAAATGTTGTTCATTTACACCTTAGGGCCACCGTATAAAAGTACCAAACACTGGTCTCAGACCAGTGGTCTGTCCACGTCCCTTTGTGTTTGCTGCAGCCAGGTCCTACTCAAAAGCACCTGTCATTCAAACAAATATCACTTACTTATGAACAGAACAGCAGCCACTTCCTGAGCCCCCACAGTCCTCCCCTCCTGATGAGGAACAGCACTGCTCAGCAGAAAGAGTTGCTTCAGGCTTTACTGGACCTTTAAAACAAAATAAGAACACACGTTTGATTATAATTGTAAATTTTGCTGTAAACGTTGCAATTTTTTGTATAAAATAGCATGCCTGCAACTTATACAGTGAAGCAAGATATTTATGTTTTTCCCCATATTTATAACCAATTTTTGGCTGAGATCTGACCATTCATTCATGCTGACATGGAAAATATTGAACACTACCATTTTCAGCCACTAGAGGGCCCTCGACTAATATGGCAAGCCAAGTGTCTCATTAATAGGTAAAAGTGGGTATTAATGAGACACTTGGCTTGCCATACAAAGCCACTTTCGTCTCGCTCCAGAACTCCTGAAGCAAATGTCAAATCAGCTGCATTTTGCCGTGCCACCCAGGAGAAATGCAGCTGATTTGACCGTCAATGTTCATTTATTAAGAAAAAGTTCAACTGAGACACACCTTTACTAGTGTTGAGCAAACAAATTGTTTTTAGGTGCTTATCTTGTTAAATTTCGAAGAAATGCACAAGTCCTTTCTTTGCACGCTCCCACAGCTGCAAATCGATTTTTGAAATGCAGCTGATTTGACCGTCAAAGTTCATTTATTAAGAAAAAGTTAGACTGAGACACACCTTTACTATGATGTCAAGCAAACAAATAATTGTTTTTAGGTGTTAATCTTATTTAATTCTTGTTAAAGTCCTCCCGTGCAGGCTCCTGCGGCCACCATTTGACAGCCAATCGATTTTTTGGCACAACACCGACCCACATTTCTGGGTTGTCAGCAGTGACACATAATAGATGCAACTCAGACGACAAAGCGACGTGTACAGCAGCAAGTACGGTACTCTAATTAAAACTGTGAGAGTATTGTCCAATTCAAATGTGCACGGAATATATTTGAAATCAAACTTCACATTAAAACAAGGTTTAAAACTAAGCTGTAATTTTTCACCTATGACAAATTACAAATACTACAGATTTGCTCTGTGTACTCTGAGGTGAAATCACTGCGCTGACCTAAAAAATACAGTACCTGTGTTTTGTATTTTAGTATGAGAGAGCTGCTCTGAGATCAGTGTGGCCTGGAGGGCTGAAGCTTTTTCTGAGGAAAACAAAAAGAAGCAACAAGTTGTCACAAGAGAAAGAAAAATGTTAATTCATGTGTAGAATAATGTTTATCTGTATAAATGACAAGATTCAGTTGTGTGTGTGTGTTCTCTGCTGTACGAGGCTAAAGGCTAGCTGTTAGCTTGTAGCGACTCTCACCAACAGCAGTGTCCAGGCTGCACATGCAGAGCAGACATCTGCCACAGTCAGCAGCAGCAGAGGGACTCCTGCCTGCAGTCTGCAGCTTCTCGCTGGTTCTGCAGGACACATGATGGAAGCAGGTTCTAATGACTCCGGTGAGTTAGCAGTGAGTGCAGAAAACTTACACACACACACACACACACGGCGATACGAATGATGCCTGAGGCTGCTGACCTGTAGATTGTGCTCACAGTGGATGGAAAGTCTGCCTGCAGTTTAGTGACGAAGCTCTCGGTCAGACGCTGGATGCTGGCCTTCTCTGGTGTCTATTGGATGGACACAAACACATGCTGCGCTTCAAACAGTGACGTGTGAAAGAAGCAAGACAAGGGTCAACTTGTTTTTACTGACGTAGTAATGCATGCGTTCATTCAACGGTTTACTAGTTTTGTTTTCAGTTTTTCTTTTTTTTATTCATTCTTTAAAAAAATAAAATAAAATTAATTCTAAGGAATTCAGACAGATGTCTGTAACTGCTCTGAGGCACTTCTTAAGTTTTTCTCTACGTTGGCTCACCGGATCATTCTCCCAGTTTTATACAACATATGCTGGACAATTACCACTGCAGAAAGAGTAGAATAAGACAATGGATGAAGCGTGGGGTTTGGGCTACAGGTGATAAAACATCTAAACCACAGGAGATGTGTTCTGTACAGCTTTTATTTAGTTTGATGTTCTAAAGGCAAACTGATCAGGAAAATAGTTTTCCACCAACAATGAGAATTTTATTTTATTTTTTCTTCTTTCAGCTGCTCCCTGTGTTAGGGGTCGCCACAGCGATCTAAGTCGCACTAAGTCGTCCACCAACAATGAGAATAAGATGTGAATTCCTGCCTAATGAGAGCACCTGATGCTCTAAACATTAAAAGTACACAAAGACGTACTTTTAATTCAACTGGACACAGAATCAAATTTCAGTTCTCCAACTTCACATTTTTTTTTGTCATTTTGGTTTGGTGTTTTAATGTCATTCATATATCTAATTATAAACTATCGTTTAAAAATTAAAGGGATATTTCAGATGTTTTGAAGGGCTGTTTACTAGAAAGTGAGATTTTAATTGCTCATAGCTAGGCCTGTTGCGATAAACAATAAATCAATTAATAGCATGATAAATTAAAACGATCAACCTCATTTTCATTCATCAGCTTTATCGTTTCTTCGTGTCTCTCTCTTTCTACTGAAGACATTGGATGACAAAAGGCTCAACTCCGGTGCTCTTCACTGACTCCTACCTTTCTCTTTTCTCTTTACAATCAGTTTTAACCGTCCAAAATTGTGTTTTTGTAAAAGCAACGAAGCTAAGAAGCTAAACTAACAGGCTAACCTTGGGGAAAAAAAAACCTTTGTCTTGTCGAAGCTCCAAAATTCACAGTTGAAACCTGTGCCTTCGTCTAAAAAGCTGTTTTTCTCTGCAAAAAGAAGCTGAGAACTTGTTTATTGATTTTAAAAAAAATTAAACAATCAAACAGTCTTATACTGCCATCTAGTGGTCAAAAAAGGTGCTACACAAAAACTGTAGGGGAACACCACTTCAGAAACAGTTCACCTCATCTCAAACATCATTCATGTGTTTTTGTGTTTGAAACTGTTAAAAGTAAGACTCATATATTCCCTTAGGAACAAACAGACATTGTTTTTACAGGTGTTCAACTCAGCTCACAAACTTCTTAGCTGACAATAGTGTAATAATAGAAAAACTGTCACTGTGTTAACTTCACTGCCAATATGAACTCATTTCCCATGAAACGAACAGATCGTTTTAATGAGAGTTTTGGTTCAATTGACCTCGAAGCTTAGGCACATCCGAACTTGCTACTTTGATATCTTCCTTTATCGAAAAGGAGTACTTCTCCCAGAATGGTTCCCATGAAGATAACACCATAAGAACCCTTTGTTTAATGACATTCTCTTTTCAGGAGATGGACAGCAACACCTTTTGGTGAAACACTGCATGTTATTAATTCCAAAATATCATTTCTGTTTTATTTTATACCTGAATGTTTATTCATTTCTCTTTTAAAAGGAAAAACTTTTAAGGCAGAGTGAAAAATAGACTTTAGATTTTATTTAACAAAGTCAAGAGTTAGGACCATCCCTCTTCTGAGAGGTGGACCTTCATCTCTAAAAACACAGACAGTTAAGTTTCACTTCTGGCACTACTTTTTCAAGAGCACATCTACTCCTACAACTTCTGCTACACACTTCACTGAGGCTCCGTCTCAGAAGACTTCACGGGAGTTTTGGAGAGAAAACTCCAGAGAGAAACACGCTTCTGCACAAGAGAACTGGAGAGAAGAAACCCAGTTTCTGCACTGGACTCAGAGAGGAGAGAAGCATCCTTTCTGCAGACGTCTCAGGACGAGAGAAAGACACAGAACCTGATCGAACCAGAACCATCACACTGCAGGAGTGGTAAATCCCAGCTGACTCCCATATGGACCCTCGTCCCTCTAAGATGACAGGAGAACTTTGAGGAAACTTCAACCTCTCAGTAACTGGAACATCTGGGCTGGTACCATTTTTAAGCAGCTGTTGGACCATTCCTGACCATCTCATTCTGGTAGGAAAGAGACTTTTAATGCCTTTCTGGTGATCATACATCACAATAATCTTATCAGACAAACTACCGCTCACATTATACACAATTTTAACTACTTCACAAACAACACCAGTCCAAAATCTGCCTTTTAAATTTCACTGATTTGAATAATCAATTCGACCTTTGATACAAAGCTATTTGTTATTCATTTAAATTTGTCATGCATAATTTTCATCACATACATCACAGATAATTATTTTATAATAAAATACATAAAATCAACTGGATTTGTGATTTATTTTGGCATAGCTGTGTGTATTAACTGATTTGATGCCCTTTAAACACGAGAAAGAACTCATGTTTCAGTTTACATTTAATTTGGGGTTAAATAGACTGATTTTTCCTCTCAAAGAGAGGTGGTGCCCACACAACGAGATTATTTGCATAATAAATGCATATCTTATGAGCTTAACTCATAACTGATAATTTACAATATATATCCAGCCCCATATCACCCTACAAAATTAACCAACATTTCTTCTTAAATTTGACAATAATTGTTAATTATTGTCAAATTTCAAACAATATTATCATTTATCGCAATAATTTCTGTGAAAATTAATCGTTCAGCAAAATTTGTTATGGTGACAGGCCTACTCATAGCTTTTCTACTAAACTCCACTTGAAAGGATAAGAACTTTCACTTCAATAGTTTTTATTTGCTGTAAAAAATGAGGGGTTAAAGGTAGAGAAAGTAAACTATCCTATTAAAAATACCAAAACAAAGTATGTCTTTATGTGTGTTAGATAAACCAAATAAAAAGGAGCGCATGTTTCTGTCTTGTGCTGCTGCTGATCTCACCTTTGTCTCCAGGCTTGGCACGACAACAGATGGGACACTGAACATGTGATTGTAGAAGGCAATTTCTTTGACTGAGTAGTCCCTCATAGGCCTCACAGACACAATGTCACCATATCTGGAGTCTGAGAAACCCTAATACACAAAACATCATCAATTGCTTTCATTAGGTTTACTCTTATTTCCATCATTTGAATCATCTGATAGATTATCAGGAAAAAGAAAAAGTATGAAATTGTGGGCTGCCCGTCATCCTTCCTCGTGTCTTTGTACGCACCGTGTCCTGAGCCAGCTGTGCTCCTCGGCCCAGTGATATGCTGGTGAGCAGTTTGACAGCCAGCCTGGTGCAGCTGTCCCCCAGCATGAGTTTACTGTAGCCGTTGGTCCGAGCTGTGTGCACCAGCAAATGCTGCCTTTGAGGAGACAGACACAGCTGAGGTCAGCTGGTTTGAGAGCAAACACCTCAGTCTGACCAACACTGTCCTCATAACACACAAGAACACACCTGTCAGCCAAAACAATAAAACCACCCGACCTGAACCATGTAGATCAGATCCTTCAACAAGGTCGACCCACAACAACGACTTGTGTGTTCTGCTCACTGATGTGAGCTCTCAGGGCATTTCTTTGATAAATCCAGACAGTGGAGGTAGTTGATGACCTACATGAGGACTGTGATCGCACAAACTCTCAGTAAGAATGTTTGGCTTAAAAAAAAAAAAATATATATATATATATATATATATATTATGTAATCTGAGGAAATTAAATATGTTATGCACAACAACAGTAAGTATCACAATGTTTATGGTTTCTCAAGCATGGTGGTGAAAGTTTTATGGTTTGGTCATTGTTTGTTGCCTTACAAAGTGGGAACATTCTCCATCATTTACAGAAGTGTTTGATAACAACTGGAAACTGTTGGACAAAAAGAAAAAGATGAAGTGGAACTTTTCAAAGGTAGAATGATTCTCAGTACAGTAGTCCCTCGTTACGTCGTGGTTCGTTTATCGCAGACTTGCTCTATCGCGGTTTTTCAAAATAGGATTGAACATGACACACAGTTAGCTGACTGATGGATGAGCCGCAAGATCGGCATGGACTTTTTATTTAAAATAAATTATTTAGCATATCCTGTACCTTTGTGCAGCCCACACTGCAGGATAAACTTCCTTCTGCAGCTGATCAGCTGTTCACCGTGCAGAGCGAATAAGTGGGCGTGGCCAAGAGCGCTTGCAGGTGACAAAAAGCAGAGAAGGCAGGGCACTGAAATCATGACATTCTGTGCTTTTTCAGAGCGTTTAGAGTTTACAAACATTGTTTAGAATATTGCAAGAGTGTGTGAAGAGTTTAAAATGCATTTAGGGTATATCCCAGATGCAATGGGTTAAATACAGAGAGCCAATTTCATCTTTATACGGGACATAGAATGATGAGAACACATATCATTTTATTTATTATATACATACACACACGTGTATGTATATATGTGTGTGTATATATATATATATATTTATATTTATTTATTAGGGGTGCAGAAAAAAATCGATTTTTTTTAAAGAATCTAGATTCTTAGTCCTGGCGATTCTGAGTCGTTTGTAAAGGTCCATAAATCGATTTTAAAATGCGTTTTAAGTTTTATATTTTTTCCGCTCTTACTCCCCGTTCGGCCGGCGTAGAATTGGGCCATGTAGGCCACCGTACAGCAGCTAGTTAGCCAGCTCCCTTTATCTGAATGGAGCCTGCTAGCATGGAGGACAGCACGATTCAACCGGTCTCTTCATCTTTAAAAATCATTTCAGATCCTACAATGTTCCGGGGAAAGACAAGAGCTGAACAAGAGCTGAACAAGAGCACGGTTGTTTACAAGAAGTGTAAAATAAATTGCGGTACAGTATTTTGGAAATATGACAAAATGCGCAGAAGATGAAAGCGAAGCAGCCGACCAGCGAACTCTGCAAAACTTCCAGCTGATTCTCCAAGCAGGGCTGTGAAGATCTCCACCTCAATCTCCTGATATATAACAAAAGATTTACAAAGTGGAAGGTGAGGGGTTTAGGTTTATTTTTAATACGATGGATTCAATGTATGTTATTCCTTCATATAGATTTTTTTTTTTTGCGATAAAGCAGCACCACAACTTCACCATGAAACAACAAATGGGAGAAGCTCTGATGCAGCTGCAGCTCAAAGGTAACTATTATTTCTCATATTAGACTAAAACTTATAGACAAGTTGAACAAACTTAATGTACTTTGTCTTTTTAACAGTTTGAATATATATATATATTTATATATATATATATATATTTATATACATACATACATACATACATATATATATATATTTGTTTATATATATACATACATACATACTTACATACATTATATATATATATATATATATATATATATATATATATA